TATATATATATATATATATATATATATATATATATATATATATATATATATATATATATATATATATATATATATATATATATATATATATATATATATATATGTAAATTTAGAATTTAGAAGGAATATTTGTATTTGTCAACTTTATTATCTACCCATCTTTAGTCTCCAATTTATTCCCAGTACCTGTCTTGAGGAATTAAGCCATAGTTTGCATGGTTAAACCACTGGCTCATTCTGTTTGCAATCATCCATGTTGTGATACGTCCAGGAAGGCTATTTCGGATAATAGTCAAAAAACGACTTAGAAACACCATGTCCCAGGGATAGCCATTATCAAAAACACGGCTCAGTACCCAAGCACCTCTTTCTGTGCTGATCATCACCTAAAAAATAGAAGACAATGAAAAGAGAGCAGCAGCCTGATATAATCAAAAATCTCAAGTCATATCTACACCTCACACAAAACTATTTAATAGTATTATCTCAGCCCAGACTTTTACGATGAGAACCTGTATTCATTCATTCATTCATTCATTCATTCATTCATTCATTCATTCATTCATTCATTCATTCATTCATTCATTCATTCTCTCCCATATTATGTACAATATAATGTTAGGCTGTGACCTGCTTAATGCCAGTTGTAATTGAGGTGATTATAAAGCTTCATAAATAACATTAACCCATGCAGCGCTGACCATCTCGGAAGGCATTAGTTGTCTAGATTAATTTCAGACTTCATGCTGGATTGAGACAGATCCAGGAACTGCTTATAGTACTTCTTCTATGTGTCCACCTGGTTATTTTAATTCATGCTGGCTATATTGTGGCCTGCCAATATCCATCTAACAGTGCCCACTAAGTAAAAGAAACAACCAATCCACACACACACACACACAAAGCTGAGGACCGAGTAAAAACTATCAGTTTCCCCCATGTAATTTGTATACACATGCCAGAGCTACTGTAAATTAACATCCAGGCCTATTGCCTGGGAGATGAGCCAAAACTTCATGGGCTTCTGGAAGGCCAATATTTTGATTGATGGATTTCAGTTTTGAGTTTGCCCAATTCCTTAACAACCCTGGGCAGCTTACAATTAAAAAAAGAGAAAGAACATATATAGAAAAATTCTCATTTTATTTTTCTCACGCTCATATTAGCTGAGGGGTGTGTTTTTCAGGAAGATTTACATAGAATTGGGTTCCTCCTCGGTGACTATTCTCTTATCAGTATTGGTCTAACTCTAAAGTGTGAAGAACTTTCCTACCAAAATCAAGGCTAAAATGTAGCCCAGTCAGCTTCCCAAAAAGTTCTAAGGTACTTTACCCTTTTTGCTGTTTGAGTGGCTTCCACAGCAATATCAACTCCAGAATTCCCCATGCCAATCACAAGTACTTTTTTATCCCTGAATACCTCTGGGGTTTTGTATTCCCGGCTGTGAAAATAGTGACCATTAAACTTTTGTAAGCCTGTCGGGAAACAAAGACAAATCCAATGAACTTTCAAATAAAACTTATAATAAATAATAGCAGATTCATTATTGGTGGGAAATTTGAAACTGTAGCTTGCCAACTAGATACTGTCTAAGAAGTTCATAAAGTGCTTTCCTCAATATTCCTGTAAAAAAACAAAGACGGATAGCATTTAAGGGGATTTTAAGCGCTGCTTCACTTAATAGCTATATCTGAGTTTCATAAAACAACATTCAATAATATGTTTCTGGACTAGAGTTGATGCTAGCAGTCTTTGCTGGACATTGTCACATAAATTATCTTATAGTCCTCCATTGCTTTATCTGCTGCAAGCTAATTCTGCTTGTTCTGTGAAGATTTTTATAAGTTGGCAAAAGGTCAACCAGACGATTGTAGCCATAGGTTTCTTCGTTTCTTGTGAAGAATGCTGGACAGCTTGGTCATCCAGCAAAACTATAATGTAATTCTAAAGTAGACAAATGTTTAATTGTTCTCAGGCTTCAATTCCTATCTGTTGCAGTATGACCAAGATGAAAATTGGTAGGATTAGCACTTGATCAACATTTGGAAGGCACAAGTTGTCTGTGCCAGTTCTTAAGCAAGACTGCATAATTAGGATAATTTTTAAGAGATCCTGCTTTGTAAATTTAAAGCATATTCAATAAAGACTTTTGTAAAAACAGAGAAAAGCCTAAACTGGCAGAAATAAAACCATCTCATCCTGTATCATAAAGAGGGGAAGTACAAGCTAACAGGGAAACCAGAGCCAACCATAATGATGCAGATGTAAAACAGAATACAGCAAGGCTCTCTAATAATGCTCGACTTTCTTATTTTTAAAAGAAATTGTTTTGTATCAATATACTTAATTACAATGAGTCATTGTAATTGAGAGGTGCAAACTGTGCACTGGAGAAGGATTTAGGCTCCATTTTGTGCCCCTACAGAGAGCTTCCAAATGGTTGCAGCAAAATGACAGTTTTCAAAGGCATTAATTTTGGGTGGGTCAGGGGACTCCTGTAAAAGGCCATAATGTATTAAATTTGCACATAACAATTTATCAGTATAAATTCCCCCCAAATAATATTCGCTTCTCCTTCTCCATCAGATATTGCTGCTTTGCTACATTTTCTGTTTCACTAAGAAACCAAAACGCAAAAAAAAAAATCCTCTACAATTCCAACAAATGCAGTTCTGAGTACAAGAAGCTAAAATTAAAAGATAATTCAAACTTTTCTTTAGCACAGTTTATTAAAATGAATGTGTAATGCTTCAAGAATTTTAGTAAGTGAACTAATGTCCAATTTAGATCCAGTATCTCTCAGTGTCTATTAAGGTGGAGAGTTTTTGAACATTTTTCTCACATCCCTGAAAACCCATCTGTTAAGTCCGGAGAATAATGGCGCTTGAAGCAATGCATTTCTAACATGTCTTTATTCTCTGACTACAGTCAACGAACAACCCGAGCAGAGGCACGCAGGCCTCTATTTATACCCTCTGATCCCCGGGCAATTTCAACCAATCACAGGCAGTCTTTTCCCGCCTTGCGCATGTGCGCAAGGCCGGCGCCGCTCAGTCTGGTCCCGGGCAGCTTTTGCAAATGCCCGGGACTCTTGCATCGTCCCGAGCCTGCTTTTGCAGGCTCCGGACACAACACCCCTCCCCCCTAGATAAAGTAATGCTGCGCCCAACATGGATGCCACCTTTGGTAGATCCTTTGTTCACGTACTGTTACAATAAATATACATAGTGTAAGAGGTATGGTTCCGTTCTGTCTTTTCTGCAAACCAATGCCCCAACCCCAGTTTCCAAAGAGCTAACCAGTCTGGACCTCATGTTCAGGTTCCTAAACTCTTGCTCACCTCACGTAATCTGCAAGGTATTTAGGAGGGCCTTTTACCTGTAGCGATCTTCTCAGACCTGGAGAACTTGCATTGTTTTCCCCATTGCTTTCTACACTAGGTGAATTACCCTGTGGTTGACTAGTGACTGCTGCCTGGCTTCCCTGCCCGCCTCCAAGGTTCAGGAAGTCAGGACTCTGCTGTTCACTATACCTGGTTGACCTACCTCTTGGGGAGTTTTCTGAGCCCTCTGAGCTCATGTCAGTGTTTCCTGAAGGTGTGTAATTTCTCTGGCTCCTTTCTGTAGTGATAGGGTCTAAGGATACCTCCCTGTTAGCTCTAATGCGTGGGGACATCCTTCTATGAGTCATTGCTGAAAAGGGCATGTCCCCACCCCGGTGTGCCTGCTCTCTTGAATATTGTGAATTGTTAGTATGCTCCCAGTTAGTCTCCTTGTCTGGAGTATTGTTGCTGAATTGTGGGTAGTTAGTATACCTCCGGTGTGACTCCCAGGCTGGAGTGAATGTGGGGGTGTCTATTTGCCCTCTGCCCCAAGAATTCCTCTTTGGAGCACTGTCGGAATGTGGGTGTTGCGTACCCATGTCGTCTTCAGCAACCAGTGTTGGCTGCTGATTCTGATTCCCAGAATGCATTTCCCGTTCTTCCTCCCCCCCTAGCGAAGACAGAGGAGGAAACCTAGGTGAGTCCCGCCTCACACTAGTTGATCAATGTGGCGGCGAAGAACGCGGCCGTCTTCTAAGGACACCTCGTAGGACAGAGGCCCCGAGACCTTGCAGACCACAGCCGGGACCCAGAGGTGTCCAGGCTCGTAATTCCTGGCCCAGACAAGATCACCCTCATGCAGGACCCTTGGTGGGTGTGGCTGAGACACCTGTGAAGCTACTCGCTCCGGATGCAGCCTGTCCAATTTAGTCACGAGCCGGCGACCCCAACGGAGTTCGGCCGGGCACTTACCCGTGGCAGTGCACGGAGTAGTACGATGGGCTAGAAGAAAGTCAGCCAACCTGTGATGCCAATTGCCGTAAGTCAGTTTCTTGAGAGCGTCCTTG